TTAGCATAGGCTCATCCATGTCGTAGCATGTGTCAGGACTTCATTCCTTTTTATGGCTGAGTAATATTCCTGAATTGAGTTTTGAAGGGAGAGTTTAAGTAGAAGGAGCTGGCAGGGCAGCATGTGTGGGGAAGAGGCGGCGGCATGTGCAAAGGCACAGAGCTTCCAGGGTTCTCGGGCCTGTGGGGGCGCTGGGCCCTGGCCTTCCTGGAGCTCCTGCCTGTGTCAGCTGAGCCCCCTTGCGGCTTCCGGCTTCCGGCTTCCATCCTTTCCTGGATCTGCCCTGCTGAGCCTCCTTTCACTTCCTGCCACACCCACCCGGGGTCTGAATTCTCACCCCCTACTGTTTGCTAGCTGTGTGACCTCAGGCAAACTCCTTAACTTTTTTCAGCATCATCATCCCTAACACAGGGCTGAGAACATTCTTCAGGATGTGAAGGGCCAGCCAGGGACTCTCGAGACAGCGGCCAGTACAGGGACTGGCTCATAGCGGGAGCTTCTTCCCTTCCCCTGGCTCTCAGAGTCTCTTTTTCTTCATTTGTGTTGCTGCAGTTAAACAACTCCCCAGAAGCCTGGACGAAGCTCCAAGACTTCTGGGTGTCTTATCATTAATATACCCCTGCAAACCAACCTCATGAATGCCTCAAGAATCCCCCTTCTTTTTTCCCAAGGACTTTACTCACTTTGAAGTAGCAGATGGTAGATGTTTAGCCTAAAAGTTTCTTTTACCTGAGACCTGAATTTCTGAAGATTTGTATATTGCATGTGACTTGTTCTTCTGTATTACTGTATAACCTTCAAAAACCAGTTGTACATTCTTTCTTTTATCCAAAAAAAAAAAAAAAAAAAAAACCTAAACCAAACTCACTGCCATTGAGTCAATTCTTATTCATAGCGACCCTATAGGACAGAGTACAACTGCATCATAGGGTTTCCAAGGAGTGGCTGGTGGATTTGAACTGCCAACATTTTGGTTTGTAGCCGAGCTCTTAACCACTGTGCCACCAGGGCTCCATTCTTTTATTGTGAGATTGCAAATGACATATAAGCAAAACCCTGCTTTGCAGTAGTCACAGCAGTTTCTCTAGAACTGACTGCCTGTTTGCAGATGTCTTTCTCTTTCACTCTTAATAGTTGATCTCTTTTATTGTCAGTCTTAATGTTTTTTTTTTTTTAATTTTATTTGTTGTTGTTGAGAATATACACAGCAAAACTTAAACCAGTTCAACCATTTCTACCTGTACAATTCAGTAACACTGATTACATTCTTTGAGTTGTGCAACCATTCTCACCTCCTTTTCTGAGTTATTCCTCCCACATTACTATAAACTCACTGCCCACTAAGGTTCTTATCTAATCTTTTGAGTTGCTGTTGTCACTTTGATCCCATATAGATAGTTTTTAAAAGAGCATAATGCTCAAGGCAGATATTTTTTACTAGTTAAGCTGAACTATTGGGTTTTAAGAAGACTTCAGTTGATATTTTTTGGTTTAAGCTTTAAAATTATCTCAGATCAGTAGTTTCAGGGGTTCATACAGCCCCCATGGCTCCAGAAAGCCCGAAGTCCATAAGAATTTTAAATTTTATTCTGCATTTCCCCCCTTTTGATCAGAATTCTTCTATAAAATCTTTGATCAATATATTCAGTAATGGTAGCCGGGCACCATCCAGTTTTTCTACTCTCATGACAAAAAAGGCAGTTGTTCATGGTGGCAATTAGCCACACATTCCATATCCTCCTTTTATTCCTGACTCTCCCTCTTCCTCTGTTGCTCCGGGTGAATAGAGACCAATTATTGTGCTTTGGATGGCCCTTGCAAGCTTTTAAGACCCTAGGTACTATGCAGTAAACTAGGAGGTAGAACAGAAGCACTAAACACGTTATTAGGTCAATTAACTGGGATGTTCCATGAAACCATGACCCTAAACCCCAAACCAAGGAACCAAATCCCATGAGGTTTTTGACTGTACTTAAGCAGACTCAGCAACTACTGTTTTGTTGTTGCTGATGTAAATATATCACACAGCTTTTGCCGGTTCAGCTTTTTACAGGTGTACAACTTATTGACAGTAATTACGGTAGTCAGCTGTGCAAGCCTACCCTTAATCAATGTGATATTTCTATCACCGTTAACTCGCCCCTCTCCCCCTCCATCCCACCCCTGGTAACCACTAATACTTTGGTCTCTATATATTTGCCTTTTCTTGTCTTTTCATATAAGTGAGGTCGTACAATATTTGTCCTTTTGTGATTGACTTATTTCACTCAGTATAATGTCTTCAAGCTTCATCCATATTGTAGCGTATATCACAACTTCGTTTCGTCTACTGGCTGAGTATTCCATTGTATGTGATTTACCACATTTTGTTTTTCCATTCATCTATTGATGGACATTTAGGTTGTTTCCACCTTTTGGCTATTGTGAATAGTGCTGCAGTGAACATTGACATACTCTGTTTGGGTCTCTGCTTTCAAGTCTTTTGGGTATATACCTAGGAGTGGAATTTTTGGGTCACATGGGAGTTCAAGTTTTAGTTTTTTGAGTAACTGCCACACTGTTTTCCACAATGGCTGTACCATTTTGCATTCCCACCAGCAATTGATAAGGGTTCCAATTGTGCCACATCCTCGCCAATATTTGTTATTTTCTGTTTTAGTTTTTAAATTGTGATTTAGGTAAAAGTTTATGGAGCCAAATTAGTTTCCCGTTTGATAGTTTGTACATAAAATGTTTCATGACATTGGTTTCATTCTCCCCAATGTGTCAGCCCCCTCTCCGCATTCTCGCCCTGGGTTCCCCGTTTCTTTTCATCCAGATTTTCTACCGCTTTCTGCCTTCTCATCTTTGATTTTGGGCAAATGTTGCCCTTTTGATCTTGTATAATTGATTGTTCTAAGGAGCACCTTCCTCTTGGATGTTATTATTTATATCATGGGCCTGTATGTCTCCGGGAATGGCTTCAGTTCCAGGTCAGAAGGGTGTCTTAGGGCCATAGTCTCAGGTGTTCCTCCAATCTCTGTCACACAGGTGAGTCTGGTCTCTTCTGTGAATTTGATTTTTTATTCTACATTTTCTCCACCTCTGTCCAGGACCCTCTATTGTGATCCCAGTCAGAGCAGTTGGTAGTGGTAGCCGGGCACCATTTAGTTCATCTGGTCTCAGGGTCATGTAGGCTATGGTTCATGTGGTCCATTAGTCTTTTGGACTATTACTCCCTTGAGGTTTTTTTTTTTTTTTTTTTTATCTTAGCCATCCTAAAATCAGTCACCGTCAAGTCAACTGTAACTCATAGCAACCCTATAGGAGGGAGTACAACTGCCTTATAGGGTTTCCAAGGAGTGGCTGGTGGATTCGCACTGGCCTACCTTTTGGTGAGCAGCCAAGCTTTTAACCACTGTGCCAGCCGGCTCCTTAGGCATTCTAGTGGGAGTGAAATGGTATCTCATTGTGGTTTTGATTTGCATTTCTCTGATGGCTAATGAAGTTGAGCATCTTTCATGTGTTTGGTGGTCATTTGAATATCCTCTTTCGTAAAATGTCTATTCAAGTCTTTTGCCCGTTTTATGATTAGGTTGTTTGTCTTTTTGTTAAGTTGTTGAAGTTTTAGATACATTTTGGTTATCAGATTCTTAGCGGACAAAGTCTTATTCTTTTTTATTTTATTTTATTGTGCTTTCCGTGAAAGTTTACAGCTCGAGTTAATTTCTCATACAAAAATTTACACACATATTGTTATGTAACTCTAGTTGCAATCCCTATAATGTGATAGCACACTCCCCCTTTCCGCCCTGGGTTTCCTCTGTCCATCCAGCCAGCTCTTGTCCCTTTCTACCTTCTCATCCTGCCTCTGCGCAGGAGCTGCCCATTTAGTCTCGTATATCTACTTGAACTAAGAAGAACACTCTTCACGAGTATTATTTTATGTTTTATAGTCCAGTCTAATCTTTGTCTGAAGAGTTGGCTTCGGGAATGCTTTTAGTTCTGGATTAACAGAGAATCCGGGGGCCATGTCTTCGAGGGTTCCTCTAGTCTCAGTCAGACCATTAAATCTGGTCTTTTTACATGAATTTGAGTTCCTCACCCTACTTTTCTCCTGCTCCGTCAGGAACTCTGTTGTGTTCCTTGTCAGGGCGGTCATTGGTGGTAGCCTGGCACCGTCTAGTTCTTCTGGTCTCAGGCTGATGGAGTCTCTGGTTTATGTGGGCCTTTCTGTCTCTTGGGCTAATATTTTCCTTGTGTCTTTGGTATTCTTCATTCTCGTTTGCTCCAGGTGGGTTGGGACCAATCGATGCATCTTAGATAGCTGCTCGCAAGCTTTTAAGACCCCAGACGCCACTCACCAAAGTGTGATGAAGAACATTTTCTTAATAAACTTTGTTATGCCAGTTGACCTTAAACTTTGTTATGCCAGTTGACCTAGATGTCCCCCAAAACCATGGTCCCCAGACCCCTGCCCCTGCTACTCTGTCCCTCGAAGTGGTTGGTTGTGTTCAGGAAACTTCTTAGCTTTGATTTAGTCCAGTTGTGCTGACTTACCCCGTATTGTGTTGTGTGTTCTTCCCTTCACCTGAGATAATTCTTGTCTACTATCTAGTGGTGTCCTGGGTGGGAGGACACCTGTCCCAGTAGAGTGGATGCAAAGATCAAGTTAAGTTTGCCCTTTGAATGATGCAAAATGCTTTACAAATATAAAGACTTGCTCCTGCTTTGGGGCTGCTGTAACCTCCAGGCCAGAGGTGTGCGCCTCCTCCATGAGCTGTGGGTTTGCAGCTGTGGCATTTCCTGCAATGTTCAGCCCTGAGTTGGCCCAGAGTGAGCCCTGGGCAGCGTTCTTGGGGCTGCTCCTTTCCTTGCATGGAAAGGTAGTATAGTGACTTCACTCTGGGCCCCTGGTGGCCCTGCCTCCAGCTCTTGCCCACCGCAGTAAAATAAGTAAAAGAAATCTCTGAGGCTCCCCTGAGGCTGCCGCATCTAGCCCTTTCCCTTTGATGCTGTAGGTCGTCTGTGCTGAATTTAAGGAGAGGGATTCTTTGCTTCGATTACTTCCCAGACAAGAACTTCCTGGGTAAGTAATCTTCCTGTCACCCAGAAGCTGCTGGTCCTGTAGAGCTGGAGTGAGGGCTGTGAGGGGTATAGGGATCATCAGAGGCAAGGAGAAGGCCCTGCAGCGCCGAGCCTTTGTCCAGCCTCCCCCGCTGCCTCGCTCTTCCCTGCTGTCAGGCACCAGGGTTGATGTGATGACACAGGCTCTGTTTAGTGGGGGCAATGGAGGGGATAGGGGGAGGAAGGGCAGAGTGACTGAGCAGAGTGACGCCTCCCATCAGTGAAGCCTGGTTGGGGTCCCAGATCTGGCCCCAGGAGAAGGTCCCCAGTGTAGGCTCCTGGTGACCAATACCCATTTCTCGCCATAGTGACTGGTGGCTATGACCCCCTCATCTGCCTGTGGAACCCCTTGTTCTCGACAAAGCCTGTGTGGCTGATGAAGGGTCATCAGACCTCAGTGACGCACATCCTCGTGAGCAACACGAACTCCAGCATCCTCATCAGCATCTCCAAGGACAAGGTGCGGCCTTCATGGACCATGGCCCTTAGGGCTCCCCCGACCCAGTCCCTATTTCTCAGGAAAGGCATTGGCTCCAAGGATGATGATCTAGCTTGGCCAGCCTCATGGTCAGACAGCTGAGAGGAGCCGAGGCCCAGAGGAGCAGTGTGACCTCCCTGCCTGTGGTCCCTCACCTGGCTCGGGCTAGAGGGAGGTGCCCCAGGTGAGATCACTGTGAGGGAGGCCTTGGGTCTCTGAGCCTAGGCCAACCTGTCCGCCAGAGCTGGGTTCCTGTGTAACTCAGCCTGGCTTCTTACTTTGTGGCCCTGGGTAGGGCCCTTCCCTTTCCTGAGCCTCATTCTCCTTATCCATAGAATGGGTTGTTGAGGGAGACCTAGCAGGTAAGAGGGCCAAGCAGGGTCAGGCACGTTGTAGGTGTGCAGTGCACGTGAGCTGTTCCCTGCCTGCCCCCTCTCCCAGACCCAGACTCGCATCTCTCAGCTCTGCTTCCAGTGACCCCTCCTTGGCTGCCTGGCTGTCACGTTTCTCAAAACCCTGCAACTCCCCTGCTTAGGGCCTCTGTCATTTTGCTTCTCTGTGGCTGCTGGTTCAGGGTAGTGCCCCACCTGCTAGGCTGCTAAGGGTGTCCCAGCCAGAGTGGGGATATGGGCCAGAGGCTCCACGTGCCCTCCTCCAGGGGGTAGGCTTGTGTTTTCAGGGACTCAGTAGGTTGAGAATTGCTGGCCACCTCTTCACATGTGCTCTTGTATGGAATTCCCACAGCAGCCCTGCAAGCTGGGCATCACTGTGTCTGGTGAGGGATCTGACACTGGAGGGGTGGGAAACGGGGATGATTTGCTGAAATCCCCATGGTCAGCGAGCAGTTGGCAGAGCCAGGACCTGGGCTGGAGTCTGGTCAATCCCAAGTCCATGTGCTTTGCAGTACACTGCGATGCCTCCAAGCAATGAGGGTCCTGAAACAGACTTCCATGGGGTCTCTAGGAAGAGTTCCTTAACCCAGAATGAGTGTGAGTGGCTACTCTGGGGACAAGCAGGCTTTTATGGCAACTGTGTTGGTCGCCACTTTCTTTGTGCCTCAGGCTGGCTTTGCCTCACAGAGACTGGGCTGGGGTGTGGCTGCAAGTGAGGACCTGGCGGGGAGGGGAGGAGATGCTGCCTCTGGGCCTTGATGTTCAGCTGTTGAGCATCAGCTGCTCATGCAGGGTAGGGGCTGTGAGCAAAAGCTCTGCAGGGGGTGCTGTGCTCTGCCACCCACTCACTGTGTGCCTTGGTTTCCTCATCTGAGCAGTAAGAACAGCATCTCTGTTGCTGAGGTGTGATTGTGGCAGACACTTCGCACAGAGGATGTGCCTTAGGAGGGGCTTGGACAGTGTGCACCTGGCCCTGCTTGCGGGGAGTGTCCACAAGGGCTCAAGTGCCAGTTGCATCCCCCAGGACCACCCTTGGCCTCTTTGCCTGTTTTGCACCCCTAGAATATCCGGGTGTGGGACATGCAGGACTACGTGTGCCTCCAGTCCTTCTGCGGGAAGCTCTTTGCCCTGGGGAACTGCCCCATCACCAGTGCCTACTTCCACAAGGACGACACCCTCGTCTGCAGCACATATTCAGTGAGTGCTGCCCCTAAAGGGAGGCGGGTCATGGCTGCAGAGTATAGGGGTGGCCGCAGTGGCCAGAGTCTGATGTCTCATGGGGCCCCCAAGGGAGGGTGACATCCTGCCCCTCCTGAGAGTGCTCTTCACTGCCGTTAGGATGAAGCTGCTAGACTCCGTCGCCTGGCCCCCTGAGGCTCTCATCTGTAGGGATTTCCTGAAAGAACTGCTTGTAGGCACCCCGCCCGCCACCCCTGTGCTGTTGGTGCTCTCTGCCCTGCATATCCTTCAGTCTCTCCTCCAAGAAGCCCACACTGGCCCCTGGGCTGAGTTAGGAGCCCCTCCTCCACGCTTCCTTAGCCCTGTGTCTTCCCTGGGTCACAGCCCTTATCACTGTGTATTATCACTGTTACAAGACTGTCTTTCCTGCTAAATCATAAACTCCAGGAGGCAGGGGCCACACCTGGGTAGCCTCTTCAAAAGAGAGAACCTGGAGAAAACTGACATGATGACCTTCTGTGACTTCTATGACTTAGCTGGTGTCCATGTGAGGACCACCCTGACCCTTGTACCATCTGCTGCCACCATCCTGGCAAGGCCAGAGACACAGTCCTTGTGCACTTGGCTGGCTGTCCTGCAGACAACAGTTTCTTAAGAAGTGGGGCTGGCGGGGGTGGGATGGGGGGGTCTTCATCTCTTTGCTGAGTGCCAGGCTGATGGCCAGCATTGGTTGCATTAAATTGGCCTTTGAAGTTCAATTCAAAGTTCAATTATCAACCCCCTGCTCTTTGACAGGAGCTGAGAATATATTAGACACTGTCCCATCTCTCAAGGAATTTACAGGGTAGAAAAATAACAGATAATTTTAGTAGAAAGTGCTAAATGTTATGATAGAGTTGTATGCTGCTAGATGCTTTAGGGAACACGGACAAAGGATCCTTAGCCTAGCCTGGAGCAGAGGGTGGTCAGGGAAGGCTTCCTGGAGGAGGGGGACACTTGATTGAGGCATTAAGCTTCTAAGAAGTCATAAGGTGAGAGGGACCTTGGGCTAGACTTGGACTTGGGGTTCTTGGAACACTATGATTTGGGAGGCCCAACCCCAGGGAGTGGGGCCAGGGAGTAAGGGTGAGGGGTATCAGCAGGTCTGTGTGTAGTCAGGACATCTTGATGTCTCGAGGTGTTAGAAGTTTCTTCCTGGAGCTGGCCACTGAGGGCAGAGGCCTTCTATGCCCAGCTGTCTGCCCTCTCCTCACTGGCAGATTGGGGTCTTAAACGGGTACTTGGAGTCCCAGGGGCCTGAGAAAGCAGGGGAGAAGACCACGACTCACAGATCCCCGCTGTGTGCCGTCCTCTACAGCAAGAACTTTAAGCAGGTGAGTGGGCCAGGGCTTACCTCCAAGGCTGGCTGCAGTGCTGGGTGACACTGGGTGGGACCCAGACCTCCCCATGTGCCGTGGTCTGCGACCAAGGAACAGTCAGCTCAGGGTGGACAGAGGGGCAGCACTCTTACAGCTTTGATGGTGGTGCTGGAGGCAGCGGGCGAGATGAGAGCCAGCCTTGCAGACAGGCTTGCCTGAGATTATATGAGAGCTCCACCGCTTGGTCACTAATTCCTTCGAGCCTCAGGGCCCTTGGCCATCTGCCATAAATTAATTCTAGACAGGCCGCCATCTTCAGAAGCCCTGTGAGATTGAACACTGGTAATGTGGCGTGCCCTGTGAGCTCCCAGTGTGCTGCTGTTCCTGAGCACCATCTTCCAGGGAAGACATAGTTTGGCTTAGTCCATCACAGGAAAGGAGGAGGGGGCTGAGCACCACCCTCGTCCTGAGTAGAGACCTCTGAGTTGCGCAGGGCAGCTGGGCACATGGAGTTGTTCCCAAGGTGTGGGAACAGAAAGGGCTGCCGGGGCTTTGGCCCACTCCCATCAGGACCCCTTTTGTGGCCTGGGCTCTGCGCAGGGCAGCTGCCCCTGCTGCAGAGGCAGCCTTTGGCCCCATGAGGCCGGAGATCACTTCTCTGGGCTTACCTCCTGTTCTGGATCCTGGCACCACCGTCCCTTACTGCTCTGGAGTTCTTCAATGCTTTCAACAAGTTTTTTTAAAAAATATTTTCCCCAGCCTTTCTAGATGTTCTCAGCAGAAAAGTTGGTCTGAAGTAGCCTCACCTGCTGCTGTTGTATTGTAACAGCAGCAAAATCGTTCACTGAGTGGAGGGGCCATCTTTTACTCAGCATTCCCCTGCAAAGCTCTACTTTGCGGGTAGTTCATTTCTTTTCCGTTTGTTTTTGGCCAAGATTAATGATGCTATAGTAAACATCTTTTCTGAATTAGGGATTACATTCTCTGGATAGATTCTGATATTAAGTGCCATTTCTGAGTGAAAGGAGACTTCACCAAATGGTTCTTTCTAAAAAAGCAGTGCCAGTCTGCACTGCCTGTAACGCAGAGAAAGGCCTGTTTTCAAGAGTGGCATCCTGCAGCAGGGGGTCCTGGCAGCCCCATGGAGGGGAGGGGAAGGGAAGGGGGAAAGACTGGAGGCCGCCCTTGGAGGGGGGCTGCTCTCCTCTCCAGCCATGTGTGCTCCCCAACAGGTGGTGAGTGGCAGCCTGAAGGGCATGGTGAATGTGTGGGAGGTCACGACAGGCAGGGATATGATGGAGTTCTCTGTGGTGAATGCCCGTCATGTGGAGCTGACTGCCATGGCCCTGGACGAGTCAGAGCGGTGCCTGCTCACGGGGCTGCGTGATGGCACAATTAAGATGTGGAACTACAACAATGGCGAATGCCTGTGGACCTTCCCCAACACGGACCAGCTGGAGGTCAGTTTGACATGTCAGCGGGAGCCAGGGAGGGCCTCTCGAGCAGCAAAGCACAACTCCCGTGGCCCTGGGATGCACTATCTTCTATCTTCCTGAAGGCCATGCAAGCATAGTCCTCAAAGAGTGCAGGCTCTGGAGTCAGACTGCCTGGCTGCAAACCTCCCTGAGCCTATGTCCTCATGCATACAGTGAAGGTAGTCACAGTGCCTATGCTTAGTAAGCTTTCCACAAAGGTTAGTTACTCTTACTTTTGTAATTACATAACACTTCTTATCCTACAGATTGGAATTTTAGATTGCCTGTGGGATCAGATGATCAGAGCCACCCATATTCATCCCTATTTGGGAAATGCCTGACAGGGTTATGTGTGTGGCCTAGAGCAAAGCCAGCCACCCCACTTTGGGACTTGAGCTATTACCTTGACCTCTGTGACACAGTCCTTTACTCAACTCAGAAGGAGAACTTGATCAAGAAGCCAGGCATTGCGTAGTGGTCCAGATTCCTACCACTGAGTAGCTGTTTGACCTTAGCCAGGTCTGTTCCCCAGTTTCATCCTCTATAGAATGGACTTGGATGCTTAGTCTAGCTGCCTCCTCTAAGTACATCAGTGTCCATGAGATAAAGGGATGTAAGAACACTCTGAAAAATATGCGATGGTATCAATTAGAGGAATTCTCATCATCAGTGAGTATTTTGACTTCTTTCTTCCATCTTCAACAGATTAGTGGTATTATCCATATGAGCCAAGGGTTCTACGTGACAGGATGGAGTAAGAGAATCACTTATATGAGGTGAGTAGGGTGCATGTTCTCTCTTTATTCCAGATGAGTTCCTCCATTCCGAGCTTTCCTGGTGGTTGGAACTCCAAGCAGGGAGTTAGTAGTGGGTAATGTCCATCGTTTCATCTGCTTATCCGTTCATTCATTCATTCATCATTCATTGAGGCTAATAAGTTCAACCTTTGTGCTAGATGCTGGGAATAGGTATAAACAGGAATTATGGAGTCTCTGTCCTTCTGGATCTTAATAGTTCAGTGGGGGAGGCAGGCACTAGTCAAATAATTTCATTTATAATTATGAAGTATGTTAAGTACTCTGGAAAAAAAGTAGAGGTTTCTATTGAGAAGGGAGGGAGACCTTGTTTTGTCTTGGGGGGTGGTCAGAAAAGCGAAGGGTGAGGAGGAGGGAATCTCATGGAGCAGGGAAGGGCTTGGGTTGGGACGAGCATTTCCAGGCAGAGGGGACAACATTTGCAAGGGCCCTTCCCCTTTAAGCCATGGTTTCCCTTTCTTACTCAGGTGTCTCAATGGGGTGATTTAAGGTTCATTATCTGTAAGATTAGGTTATGTAAATCTCTATGGAGAGGGCCTTTATAGTAGGCACCTAGCAGGTGCTTAGTAGGTGAGGTCAGTGGGGCAGGGTTTCAGCCCTGTTTTGACACTTGAGGGTATCCTCGTCTGAGTCCAATCCCAGAATCCCGAAGGCCTTGGTGTTCCCCCCAGTAGACAATTAAAGGCTGAGCTTTCAGCCCTTCTGCCTCTGACCATGTGTACAGGTTCCATAAGACCAAGCCGGTGCCCTTGTGCCACCACTGGCAGACTTTCCACACGGAGGATGTCCTGAGCATGGCCAAGTACCAGAACCAGTTCCTTGGGACCTCCTCCTACAATGGGGACATCCTCTTCTGGAATGTCAGCTGGTTCAAGCCCATCTTGAAGTTCAATGCTTCTGAGAGCCCTTTGCCCTTGCAGCCCAAGAAGGTATGGTCAACAGGAGCATGTTCTCCTCTTACCTTTCTCTCAGTTGTGGGCCAGAATCACGTAGACCGGGGCAGGGGGAACCCCAAGAAATAGAGGAGATGGTGAGGACTTTTTCTGGAGGGAGCTGGGGGTTCTATTCCATCTGAAGTGAAGAGGTGGGCACCATCCCGAACTCTGTACTTGTGCAAAGTTTCCTCCTCCCTTTAAAAGAGCACAGACTATTCCTCCCTTTAAAAGAGCACAGACTGTTCCTTGTCCCTCACCAAGCCCTTTGACCACTGTGTTCCCACTGAGCCCCTGGTGTTAGAGGGAGACAGAATCTGGGTTGTTAGAGGGATATAGAGGACCCTGATATTTGTGGACTCCACCTTCATATACACCTGCTCCTCACTTACCTACTAGTTCTCTGGGACATCGCAACACCTCAGGGGCTGCTTTTTCTCTGGTGCAGGTGCAGGGAATGGACAACCGCCCTTCTGAGGACTACGGGGCCAGCAAGCCCTGCGTGGAGCAGCAGAAGTGGGCATACAAGGCCTCCCCACTGCACGTTGGCAGAACTGTAGGCAGTACCATCCTGAGACAGAGTCTAACATCGGCCCCTCCAGTGATGAGACACTTGAGAGAAAAGGAGCCTGACAGACATGGGCTCCCACAGGTAGGAGTGAGAGTCAGACCAGGTGGTCACCCTAGTCAAACACCTGTGTTTGATTTCTAGCTTGCTTGTTTTTCTTGTTTGAATGCACCTTTTCCAGAGTGCCTTCAAGTCAGTCACTTCACTTATTTTGAGCACTGCGGCCCTGGCAGGGTACCTCCCTGTTCTGGGCCCAACAGTGGTGACAGCAGCAGCTGCCACAGTATCTAACCTGCTGTGCTGCCTCGAGCCTGGGCATGGTCCCTTCCAAGAGCATGGCCAATACCAAATCTGAAAGCTTGGGCAGGACCAGAAAGGCACACAACCCAGAGAACTTAAAATTGGATATTAGATCCAGGGTTGCTTTCTCCATCCTCAAGCTCAAGTCACTTGGCTCTGGCCCTGCCCACGCAGGTGCAGAGATGAGCTGCAGGGGCTGCCTAGCTTCCCTCAACAAGTCTTACCTCCCTGGAGACCAGGCTCCAATGGCCTGAGGCCCAGAAGAGGTAGACTACTTTCCTCCTCCTCTGGACTCCTCATTTCTGCCCCGGGATTAACCCTTCCAAGGGTGATGGAACTTGAATCCCAAGGATGAGCAACTCTCCCTTCTGATGGGGTATGGCTTGGCCTCAAGACCTTTAACAACCCAATTATGAGTACCCCTTGTGTGGGCTGTGGAGGAGCCAGTGGATTGTTTCAGCAATCAAAGCCTGATTCCCATTCCTGGGAGTTAAGGCTTAAATGAGAAAATCCTACCTTCTCAAAACATACAGTCATTTACAGGCATAGGTGGTCTAAACCTAGATCCAACATGATCTGCTAGGACATAATTCTGCTATAACATGCACACAATTTACATTACTGTAAGATACTCATACCATCTTAGTCTGAATCACCAGGGCTATGTCATGGCATTCAAAGTCCTCTAGATGTAATTTGGATGTACCATAAATGATTAAGCCAAGGCTGCCCAAGACTTCAGACACCAGCTGAAAATTCAGGGGTCCCCAGGACGCCCACAGTTAACAATCTGCTGGCTACAGATTTGGAGATTCCCACTACTTCCCTTGAGTTTGATAATTTGCTAGGATGACTTACAGAACTCAGGAAGGTGCTATATGTATGATTACGGTTTTATTATAGAAAGGATACAAAAGAAGAGATGCATAGGGAAAGAGATAAGAAGGTCCCCACTGTGGAGCTTCTGTCTCCCTAAGGATGCATTACCCTCCTATACGTCTATGTCTTGTCACCAAGCAGGAAGTTCACCTGCGCTTCAGTGTCTAGAGTTTTTTTTTTTTGGGTCTCATTACGTAGGCATGATTGATGGAACCATTGCCCATGTGGTTGAACTCAATCTCCAGTTTCTTCCTCCTGCCCTCCAGAAGTTGGGCTTTTATCACATGGTAGGTCTTTCTAGCATGGCCAGCCCCAACCCAAGAGTTACCTCATTAATGTAATTTGTCAGGTGTGGTCTGGAGAACAAAACCACTCCAGTCACTTAGGAAGTTCCAGGGTTTCGAGGCTACCTCTTAGCAACTAAGGACAATGACCAAATTTTATAGGTAGAGTAATTCTTCACCCCACGGGTATACCCTTTTATCCCCACCTTCAACTAGGGTGGTCTTTTCCAGGACAAAGAAAGGTCTTTCTCAAAGGCAAACCGAAGGCTCTGCCCTAGAGAGCAGAAAGTGCTGGTAACCTAAAATGGAGATTTTCCAGCATCCAAGTGTCTTCAGGCCCAGGATCCACTAGACACCTACTGTACTTTTCACAGGGTGGTGCGTCTACCAAGTAGGCTATGGGGTGGCTCCTCTTTCACTGTCTGCTTCTGATTTCTGTTCCCCCATGGAGTGGAGAGATACCTTGTGGTGACCTGGGGGGTCCGTTTTGCTTTCCAGAAACCTGTCAGTGCTGGAAGCTCCAGGAAGCCAAAAGTGTCCCATGATAAACAGCCATTTTCCAAAGAGATTGAAAGGAGACAAAGGGGATCCCAGAGGAAGATGGTACCTGCCAATACATCTGTGGAGAAGGTTGGCCATGCTCAGCCAGGGTCTGGGATGAGAGCCAGGAGTGAGCAGTCAGGATGGGGCTGGGAAACAAAGTATCCATGAGCCTGGGGGACCCTGGGCTAGGGGCCCAGCCTGACTCTCCCCAGCGACCCTGGAGACGTGGTGGAAATGATGGTCCCCCTCAGAATTTGGGCCTCAGGTCTGTTGTGTCTGGGGCAGCCCCCTGGGAGTTGGGAGGGCAGGCACGTCCTAGGGAGGTGAGCAGTGTCACCTCCTATTTGGTAGGTTGGGCTGGGGGGTAGGAGAGGTGGCATTTCTAGGATCCACTGTTAAAATGCCCTCTGTTACCTGGGAGGGTGTTTTTTATGACATGCAAGTGGGGATTGGTTCATACCCGATCTTCTCTCTTTCTCCTGTACTTTTCTTCTATCTGACCCTGGGTGCTGCTTATTGTAATACTTACTCCCCCTCCTAAAAACATAGTTTTGTTAAGTGGCCAGGCTGCCCCATTACCCAGCTCCAGGGGACCAGGACTGTGTCCTGTGGTGGTGGGTAGAAAGCCAGAAGCGGCTGGATATTTTCTTCTCTAGTATCTGAGTGTTTTTTCCTCTCTTTAAAAGAAAAAAAAAAAATTCTTTAAAAAATTCAAAAGTAATACATACTAAATGATAAAAAAGAATAAAAGTGTATAAGGCAAAAAATAAGTCCTCCACATCTCAGTCCACCCCACTGCTCCCCACTCCCCACTCCCCAACAGTAGCCACTGCTGACAGACTAGTTTTAGCCTTTCATATTTTTTTAGACCTTTGATGTAAAATTATGTGATGTTGTACCATTTGCTTTTTTTTTTTTTTTCCAGCTTAACAGTATATCGTGGATATGTTTTCACACCAGTAATTTAGATATATCTATTAGGAAGTTATTATACACTTTTTAATAATTGCATACCAGTACCAGTTGCTGTCAAGTCTACACTGACTCATGGTGATCCCTTGTATGTCAGTAAAACTGTGCTCTGTCAGGTTTTCAATGGCTAACTTTTTGGAAGCAGATTGCCAGGCCTTTCTTCCGAGATGCTTCTGGATGGACTCAAACCTCTAACCTTTCGGTTAGGAGTCCAGCATATTAACTGTTCGTGTCACCCAGGGACTTCAATAATTGCATAAAAAAAAAAAATCCCCTGTTGCTGTCGAGTTGATTCTGACTTATAGCGACCCTATAGGACAGAGTACAACTGTCCCATAGGGTTTCCAAGGAATAGCTGGTGGATTTGAACTACTGACCTTTTGGTTAACAGCTGAGCTCTTTTTTTTTTTTTTGTTTATTGTTGTAGTTTAAGTGAAAATTTACATTTCAAGTTAGTCTCTTATACAAAAGTTTGTACATACGTTGTTATGTGACCCTAATTGTTCTCCCTATACTATGACAGCACACTCCTCCTTTCCACCCCTGATTTCCTGTGTCCATTCAACCAGCTCCTAACCTTCTCTGCCTTCTCATCTCACCTCTGAACAGAAGCTGCCTGTTTAGTCTCATGTGTCTACTTGAGCTAAGAAGCACACTGTTCACAAGTATCATTTTATGTCCCACAGTCCAATCTTTGAAGAGTTGGCCTCAGAAATGGTGTTAGTTCTGGGCTGATAGAGAATCTGGGTGCCATGCTTTCCGGGGTACCTCCAGTCTCAGTCAGACCATTAAGTCTGGTCTTTTTACTAGAATTTGAATTCTGCACCCCACCTTTCTCCTGCTCCATCAGGGACTCTCTGTTGTGTTCCCTGTCAGGGCAGTCATTAGTGGTAGCCGAGCACCATCTAGTTCTTCTGGTCTCAGGCTGATGAGTCTCTGGTATATGAGGCCCTTTCTGTCTCTTGGGCTAATACTTTCCTTGTGTCTTTGGTATTCTTCATTCTCTTTTACTCCAGGTGGTTGGGACCAATTGATGCATCTTAGATGGCCGCTTGCAAGCTTTTAAGACCCCAGACGCTACTCACTGAAGTAGGAGGCAGAACATTTTCTTAATAAACTTTGTTATGCCAGTTGACCTAGCTGTCCTAAAAGCATGGTCCCCAGACCTCTACCCCTGCTACTCTGTCCATCGAAGTGTTTGATTATATTCAGGAAACTTCTTGGCTTTGGTTTAGTCCAGTTGTGCTGACTTCCTCTCTAGTGTGTGAGCAGCCGAGCTCTTAACCACTATGCCACCATAGCCCCCCTGCAATTTGTATATCAGAAATGATTAAGCCAATCTCATATTGACAGGCATGTAGATGAATTCCAATCTGCATTGAACATCCTAGTGTATACATTTTTGTGCATTTGTGTGAGTAGACTGAAAGACTGGTTCTGGGAAGCAGAATTGCCAGCAGACCCCATCCCTTTAAATTCATGAATCTGATGTTACCTCACTGGCCCAGGAAGCAGAGGTAGCAGGTTGGTTGATGTGGCATGGAGTGGAGATGGGTGTTTATGCTGCTCCATGTGATGTGCTTCCTGAAAGTTACCAGGTGTGGCACAGGGAGACCTAGTCCAGCCTAGGCAGCTGAGGACCTAGGGTGACCATCTTGTACATCCATGCAATCACAAGTAAGGATTTCAACTGCTCTGACTGGCTGTGTGGACCAAACATTATTCATCTGACTCCAGTCTTCCTAGCGGCTCTGTTTTCACACCCATCCCTCTTCCTAAAGTGACTTCTTGGGCTTAGAGAGGACATTCACTTATGCTTCCTGAAGCTAGAGCCAGGAAATGGTGTTTTCTTCCAGTCTTCTCTATTGTAAAGTCAAGTATTTTACCCTTGAGAGATGGGGCAAGATGAAGTGAGTGGTTGTTCCCATTTATCCCCCAGCAACTAACTCACTGAACAATAAATAAAAACAAACACAGACTGAGATCTTAGAACTCTGGATGGCAGCTGAGGTGTGGGCGCGTCGAGGTGAGTCCAGAAACAGGAGAGGAGGAGTAGAGGTGACACAAAAGCTGGGAGAATCTACCTGATAGAATCTGGAGCACTCTGTCACTGCAGCCATTTTGGGATGGGGTCGGGCAACACCCTGAACAAAGAACACAGAATGGGAACTAAACTGAGGAAGCTGTAGTCTGATTTTTAAGGCTGCACAGATAGGCCAAGGGAGTTCGTGAGCCACACATTTGGGAGGGGGTCAAGGGAGACCATGGTGCTGAGAGAGAGAGAGTGCTGTTGAATCTCACCGAGACATGAGGTGGATGGGCACTAGGACCAGGAGGAGCTGAAAAGGCACGAGGGAGAGAGAGATACTCAAGACAGGCAACAGAGAGGGAAACAGCTGACTCTGCTCACAGTGGGACACCATAGGAGAGCCTGTTCAGGGGTGCCCATAAGGGAAAGGCAAAGAGTGTTCCCTACCTTCATCAAGGGAAGGCCAAACACCACTGCTTACATCAGCGTCTGTGGCCAGCTAAAATCCCCCATGCATGCATACTGAACGCCAGAGACCAAGCACCTAGAGCTCACGAAATCAGTGCTGAAAAAACCTAAGGATAAGTCTGTCCTCTAGTGGTTCTTAAGAGAACATAGCAGAGCTAAATCAACCAAGCATGATCAGGAAATTTTCCCACGAAAATCAGAAAACAGAATTTAAACTATTAAAGAAAAAAAAGATATCAAAATGACCCAAGATCGACAAAAAGTAGTAAAACACAAAATCACAAGAGATGAAGGACCAATCAAAAAGAAAACCTGAAGAAGAGAGAATTTCTCCTATGAAGGGCAGATTAATGCAAAAAATAGAAAAATTTCAGACAGTGGTGCTAAATATGTTTAAAGAAAGCAAAAAGCACATAGAAAACAAAATAACGGAGATCAGGAAACAAATAGAGGAACAAAATGAGAGATTCAACAAGGAAATTGAAAACATGAAAAAAAAAAAAGAGAACCACTAGAACTGAGGAATAAAGCAACTGAAATAGAAAAAGCAAGAGAAACACTCAACAATAGAGTACCAGACAGAAGTTATAATAAGTGAACTAGAAGACAGAATAACTGAATTTATCAAGTCTCAAGAAAAATAAGAGAAAAGAACAAAGAAAAGTGAACAAAGCCAAATGGAAATATGGGATTCAATTAAGAAATCTAACATTAGAATTATTGGAATTCCAGAGCACCATAACAATAAAGGCATAGAAAGAATTTTCCAAGAGGTAATCAGAGAGAATTTCCCACACCTGAACAGAGACTCAAGTCTGCAAATGCAGGAAGCTACACAAACCCCAAATAGAAGAAATACAGAAAGATCAACTCCATGCCACATCCCAATAAAATTCCTGAAAACCAAAGACGAGGAGACAATTCTGAAACTGGCAAGAAAAAAACACAATGTTAACATACCAAGGATCTTTCATAAGAATCAGTGTGGATTTCTCCCCAGAAACTCTAGAGGTCAGAAGACAATGGAGTGACATATATAAAATATTGAACAAAAACAACTGCCATCCAAGAATTCTTTTCCCAACAAATTTGTCATTCAAAAGCAAGTGGGAAATCAAAACATTCTCAAATAAACAGAAGCTCTGGGAATTTGCCACTACCAGACCAGCTCTACAAGCATGACTCAAGGGAGTTTTCCAGATGGAAGGGCAAGAGCATTAAATACTTAGCTCTATACATGGCGGCAGAGGTGGCGGTGGTGGTGGGGGAGAGTGGGGAGCAATCTTAAGGACCAAGTATACGATATTTTCAGGGAATAAACTCAATAATGTAATCCTGCGAACAATACAACATCAAGTCTGTAAGAAGTAAGTACAAAGCAAACCTATCTGATATAGGATGTACAATCATGTTAATGGAGACTCACTGTTATGGATTGAATTGTATCCCCCCAAAATGTGTATCAATTTGGCTAGGCCATGATTCCCAGTATTGAGTGATTGTCCACCATTTGGTTATCTGATGTGATTTTCCTGTGTGTTATAAATCCTACCTCTATGATGTTAATAAGGCAGGATTAGAGGCAGTTATGTTAATGAGGCAGGACTACAAGATTAGA